AAAAAAAAAAAAAAAAAAAAAAAAAAAAACAGAAATTAAAAAGAGAAGGAAAAGAAATAGAGTTCAAAATAAAGCCATGTAAAGATGGAAAATACACAGAAAATCTGGGTATTGTATGTTATTGTACTGTCTTTGAGTTGTTTGATGGCTGAGGATGAATCAACAGCTGCTAAAAGACATTTGGTTATAAATGCTGCTGGATTAGCATGGCATATAAATTTTGAAAAAATGCCTTGACTTCAAAATTTAAGTAAAAAGATATGTTAGTTTGGAGAAGAGGTTTTGTTTTTGTTTCCACAGGAAATGAAAGGCTGCGGGTTCATTCTGGGTTTAGAAAAATCAGGTTTGATCAAGGAAGACCCCCTGAGGAATATCCAATAATGGCATTTGGCTCAGATGTCTGAGTTTTACATCCAGAACAGCCTCGAGGCTGCTGGCTGAGATGACCAAGCCTCACAGAATAGTCCATTCAGGACTTGCCCATAACTCTAAATTTTCTTTAGGTCCTTATAAGATTATCAGCATCTCTAATCAGGAGGAAGTATCATAGAAGACTATGCCCACATTCCCTAAAAATGAATTATGGATGTTTTTCTCTCTTTTTTAGAGTTTTAGTTAAAAGTTGTTATGAATAATGGTCATGGAGAAAGCTATACAAAGGAGATTAGATTCAGAGTTTTGCTTCGAAAAAAAGGGGGGAAGTGCTATGGGACAGTGGTCTTATACCCTATAAAGATTTGTCACCTGTATTGTTTTAAGAAAATTCCAATTGGCCAGTATCCAGATAGAAAGTATAGGTGGGCAATAAGAACAGGAGAATTCTGTGAAGAGGAAAGGCTTAGTCTATAGTCATCACCCAGACATAAAGGAAGAAAGATGAGAATGCCACATTGACAAAAGGTACAAAGCCATGTGATAAACACAGACAAGAATAATAGATTAATGAATGATGTAAGAGTTAGTTAATAAGAAACCATGAGCTAATAGGCCAACCAGTTTATAATTAATGTAGGCCTCTGTCTATTTTTGTGAATGACCAGCTATGGCACTAAGCAGGACAGAATCCTCCGCCAACACCTAACTTTTGATAAAAACTATCAGTAGCAAAGATCTTCTCTTTGTCAGATGGAGGGAGGAAATCGGATATCTGCATGCTTAAGAGTAAGTATAAATTTTCTACCTCTTACATTGTACCAATCAATTCTAAATGGATCACAGATGAAGAACAAGTCACGTGAAATAAATAAAAAGCATCATGAAAACAAATTAACAAACCTCTACAGAATGCAAGAAAATTCTTTGCCAACTATATATTTTAATTGGATAATAGAATACAGAGTCAGGGGAATACTCCTCCACTGTTGGTTGGAGTGCAAACTTGTACAGCCACTTTGAAAATCACTATAGCAGTTTCTTAGAAAATTGGGAATCAATCTACCTCTAGACCCAGATATACCATTCCTAGACATATAACCAAATGATGCTCAATCATACAATAAGGGCACTTGTTCATTAATGTTCATAGCAGCATTATTTGTAATAATCAAAACCTCAGAACAACCTAGATGGCCCTCTATTGAAGAAAGAATGAATGAAAAGAAAATGTGGTACATTGACACAATTGAACACTACTCAGCTGAAAAAAAAAGTGACATTGTGAAATTTGCAGGCAAATAGAACTAGAACAAGAAATCCTGAGTGAGGTAACCCAGACTCAGAAAGGCAAACACAGTATGTACTCACCCATAAGTGGATATTACATGTATAACAAAGAATAACCAGACTATAATCCATAGTACCAGAAAAGCTAGGTAACAAGGAAGACCCTAAGAGAGGTATATGGATTGCCCTGGGAAGAGGGATTAAATGAGATTACCTGGTTAAACTGTGGGTAATGGTGTGGTAAAGAAAAGGAGATGGGAGAGGAGAATGTAAGGGAATAGGATGATCAAGTGGGGAGAGGGATGGAGTGGGAGAGCAGTGAAAGAAATATCTTAATAGAGAGTCACTATGGAGTTAGGGAGAAGCCTCCTCCTACGAAATTCCCAAGAATCTTCAAGGATGACCCAAGCTAAGACTGGAAGAAGTATGGAGTAGGTGACCAACCTGGCCTGACCCTGTAATTAGATTGGTGAATAGCCCGACTATTATCATAGAGCTTTCACCCAGTAACCAGTGGAAACATATGCAGAGATCCACAGCCAAGCACCATGGCGAGCTCCAGAAATCAAACCAAAGTGAGGGAGGAGGTAATATATGAGCAAGATCATGATGGAGAAATATACAGACAGCTGGTTCAAGCTTGTGGAAATTTATGAACTCTAGACCGACAGCTGTGGAGTCTCCATCGGACCAAACTATGATCTCCAAGTATATGGGAGACAGTGATGAAAATTGTAGTATTTGAGAGGCTCTTGACAATAGGACCAGGATCTCTCCCTGGTGCATGAGCTAGCTTGTTAGAGCCCATTGCCTATGATGGGACCCCATGCTCTTCCTTAATGCAGGGGGGAGGAACTTTGTCCTGCTCCACCTTACTGTGCCATAATTTGTTGATTCACCATTGTAGCCCCCTTACCCATAGGGTAGACTGAATCGGGATTGGGCTGTTGGGGAGGCAAGGGGGAGGTGGGAGGAGAACTGTGGTGGGAATTTAAAATGAAATCAAAGCAATAAAAATGTGATTTTAGAAAATGTTAATATCTAGAATCAACAGAAAACTCTGAACTTTAAATATCAAATACGGATGTAAGAAGTCCTTTTTTATATGTTGGTTAATGAATAAAGAAACTGTCTTATGCCTGTGCAAGGCAGAACTTAGCTAGGCTGGGAAAACTAAACTGAATGCTGGGAGAAAGAAGGTGGAGTCAGTGAGAAGCCATGTAGCCCAGCAGAGGGAGATGCTGGAAATTTACCCAGTAAGCCACAGCCTCGCGACAATACACAGATTAGTGGAAATTGATTAATTTAAGATATGAGTTAGTCAGAAATACACTTAAGCTATTGGTCACACAGTATTGCAAATAATATGGTTTCTCTGATTATTTCAGGAGTCTGGGTGGCCAGGAAACAACAAGCGGCCCCCTACTACAAATTTATTAAATCAATAAAAAGGACAAATGAATTGGAGAGAACAGATTACAAAACACAAATGGTCATTCAACATATGTAAACAAGTTTCAACATCCTTAGACATCAGGAAAACACAAAATAAGAATGCACTGAAATTCCATATAAAATTAAAAAGATATAAAATTTAAAATTAAAAAAAAAACTCCATTGAGTAACATATTGGCATAATATAAGGAGAAATAAAACCTTATATACTGCTGTCTCAAAAGTAATCTGGTAAAAAGAAACTAGTAGGAAGTTTCCTCAAAAATCTACAATAGAGCTACTATATAATCTAACTAAATAATCTGAGAAATATTTACAAAGAAATATATTCAGCATTCTATGTAGATAGTTACCTGTACACCCATGATTATTTTAACACTATTCAAAAATCTATGATATGCAATAAATATAGATGCCTACCAACAGTATGAAATAAAACAGTGCTTCATAAAGAGGAACTAGCCAATAGTATCTACAAGCTAATCAAGTAAATTAAAACCATTCTCAGCCAAAATAAGCTATTCAGAAAGACAAATAACACCTTTCCCATGCATGTACAAAATCTAAATTTAGTTATATGTGTGTGTCTTTTCTACTTTCATGATGTGCTTACTTGTAAGAGAATAAAAGGAAGGCAAGAGGAGGACATGGGATGTGACAGTAAGCTGAATATCAACAAACTATAATAGATTCATATGAATGAAATATCATTAGGGAAACCTTAATTGCATTGTATATAGATTTAAAAATAAAAAAAATAATGTCAAACAAGCATTTTTTCACTTTATTTGATTGGAAATAACAGCTACCTTAGAAACTACATTTTTCTATTGTTTGGTTTGATAATAATGGCTTATGCATTCATATACAAATATTTAACAGATGAAAATTAAGAGAGAAATTATCAATACATTAACATATGTTTATCAATATTAGCATTTAATTGGGGAATATGTTATAAAATGTATCAATTTTGTATTAATTTTACAAGACCTATTTTCTTTTTATAGTAAATGATTTGGGGCACTTTAGCCAGATTCAATAAATATGAAACTCATATGAGCAATGTGCTTTTCTATATTGTATAAATCACACTTACTATAAGATTAGTTTACAAATAATACATTGTTATAAACACAAATGTTGCAATAATAGGCCTGCACTGCATTTGAGGAAAAATTCATGTTAAAACTGAACAACATGCTGGGCAGTCATGGTGCACATCTTTAATCATAGCACTCAGGAAGCAGTGAAGGCAAATCTCTATGAGTTCGAGGTCAGCCTGGTCTACAAGAGATAGTTCCAGGACAGGCTCCAAAGCTATAGAGAATCCTTATCTCAAAAAACAAAATCAATCAATCAAACAAAAAGAACCCCCTAAAACAAAAGAAAGCAAACAAAAACCCTGAACAACATATGAGCCAATCTTAGGTCTTAACTAAGGACATTTATTTTTAGAATCGTTTTCTGTAATCCTTTAGTTTAGTACACATAATGAGAATAGCATTATAATGAGTGCACCTGAAAGGACAGGAGCTTGTTTTCAATTACAGGAGATATTTGCCCATGTTTGTAGGTAATATCCTGTATCTAACTCCTTCTAAAGCCCCTTACATGAAGGGCTCTCTTGATTATTAACCACTTTGCTTAGAAAGGTGCGTGGAATCAGGAAAAGAGCCCCAAACATTTTTCTTGTTTGCTATGATGCTGTCTGACAAAGGATGAAACTGAAACTGAAGTATATTATGATGTTTAGGATCATCTGTAGGTTATTATTTTCAGCTATGTTCCTTTTTCTCCATTATTAATAATTTCAATTGAAGAGTATGTTGTTCTATGAAGTGAATCCTGTATACACCATTATTAGATATTCTTTGTAAAACTGGATGAATAATGACTGGTCTGCAGCCTAGTGGTAATTTAGAAATCTAATTTACATTACCTTAATAAATTTCCATACCTGTGGTGAAAGTAATGGCAGTCTGATATAAGAAAGCAGCTTCGCCAGTTCTCGTTGCCTAGTCTGAACATCATGACCTACCCACTGCATAAGAGCATGGAAAATTGTTTCTTCATCAGGCACATTAATGTCATCACTACACAGAAGTTTTGATATTTCATTAGCTGGAAGCAGAAGGAATTCTTGATTCTTTACTACATCAATGAAATGTTCCTACAAAAAAATAATATCTTGTGATAAAGTAGTTGAGAATCTGTTTAATAAAATAAGTATTTTATTTTGTTAATTTCCATAAAGATCAGAACACACATTTTACTGTATGTAATTTCAAGTTTCCATTTGCAATCGCCATATATATTTAATCTAATATCAAAGTACAAGCAGCTATGTTTCAAAATTTCATTAAAGCACACCCATAATTTCTAGTTCTTAAATACATATTATTAACATGGATTATTTCAAATATTTATATAATTGATTGTGTCAATCTTTTTAAGTATATAAACTATTATACTCTTGAAACATATTTAAGCATTTTCTTTGTAGATTGAGTTTTGATAAAAAACAGGTATTCTGGAGAATCTTAAAACAGATTATAAATAATTTGGAGTTTTAACTAAATCAAATAATTACATTACTTCTACTTCTAGTTTAATAATTAGCAAAAGCAGAATAAGTATCAAAATTTTGCATGAAGTAAAAAAGAAGGCTGATAATTCCATATTGAAATGCTAATGGCTTAAATTCCTAAATCAGTATGCCTATTTAAACAATGAACCCTTTTGTGACTAAGGCAATCAGTTGAGACAAAACTGATGTTCTGTCGCATACCACTCTGGCTAACATTTCTCCCATTTATAGAAAATTATTGTAATGTTCTTTCACACATTAATTAATAATTATGCAAGTGGTAAGTAACCACTATAGGATCTTATGAAGAGATGGATTACTCTAATGACAGACATGCAGTACACATTGTTTGATCTCCTATATGAGTTGAAAACTCTGAACTCTAACATTAATATCTGAAATCATGTTTATTTTATTTTGCTCAACTATACAACTGTCTTTTCGAGGTTACAGAGTATTTGTAGAAATGTTAAGAAAAAAATTAACCAAACACCAGGCCAAGCTCCAGGAATCCAGTTGAAAAGAGGGAGGAGGGGATATATGAGCAAAGGAGGTCAAGATCATTAAGGGGACATTTATAGAGACAGCTGAACCAAGCGCATGAGAACTCATGAACTCTACATCAATGGCTGTGGAGCCTCTTTAGAACTCAACTAGGCCCTCTGCATATAGAAGATAGCTGTGTAGCTTAGTTTATTTGAGGGGTCCCTAGCAGTGGAACTAGGATCTATCTATCCTTGGTTCATGAGCTAGCTTTTTGGAGCCCATTCCTTATGATGGCATGCCATATGAAGCCTTAATACGGGGAGGGGGTGTCTTGGTCCTGCCTCAACTTTATGTGCCAGATTTTGTTGACTCCCCATGGGAGGTCTTGCTCTTTGGGAGGGGGTATGGGTGAAACAAGGAAGGTGGGAAGAGGAGTAGAGAGAAAACTGTAGTTGGAAGGTAAAATGAAATTTTAAAAAATAAAAAAAATTAAATGTATGATTAACTGTCATGGTCATCGGGTGTTAATTCTGAAACTATATTTATTCCTTAAATAAAAACAAGAGACAGAGTATTTCTGTGTGTAAAACTTACTCAGTGCCAAATTGTATCATAGAGAAGTTTATTTAAAATGTCTTTAATGAGAGTTAAAGTAATGATAAGATATGTTAATGTGATATTTAATACACAAGCATATATTTACTTCGTGGTCCAATTGCTATCATTTCAGAGTCATTGCTTCATATGAGTATTGAAAACTGATGAGCAATATAGACTAGTGTAAATAAAAGTAAATATATTATCTTCAAACATCTGTGCACGCCACTGTGGAACTTCAAACTATAGACAAGTAATCATTTTAAATGGTTTTATTTTGAAATTAGTTTGAACCTGATGCCCTTTTGTTTTTGCAACTTCCAGAAAAATTTTCTTTTATGTTTTTGTTAACCATTTGTAGGGATAAGCCCACCAATTGGGGGCGGGCTCACCTCGGGCGAATGTTTACTGATAAATTGGGTGCGCAGAAGCCGCACTTCCCTTCCTGCTTCTTGTACTCCACTGGAACCTTGGTTTCATGAGTCTGGTTTTTCCATTAAAGTTGTTCAAATATCGATTACCATTGGTCTTCATTAATCTAAAGCACCACATTTGGTGCCCAGTGGGACTTTGGGGATACCGGCCCCGATTCGGAGGCTCCGGGAGGCCACCGCTGGGAGCCAGCGGCGCCTCCGCCTCCGGAGGTCTCTCTCTCTCTTCGCACAGATTGTGCCCTCTCAGCACTGCACCTAGAAGCAGCTGAGTTTCTGAGTCACTGGAAATCTCTGGTGCCTGCTAGAAAGCCGGCAAACAGAACGGGAGACTTAGCCCCGGCAGTTTGGATTTGTGTCTGTGCGCCCTGCCCTGACCGCCACCCTGTGCTCGGGTCACTTAATGGCGGAGAGGCGTTGCAGTCCCCTTGACCCGACTCAGTGCCGTGCGTCTCCTTGACTTGTTCACTTTGGCAGCTTTCTCTCTATTCCCCTTCCACCCCGCCTGCTCGCTGGAGCAATTAACCCAGAACGGTAAATTTCGGTTTTGAGTTGTTTCAGACTGGCTCTCCACATGGACTCAAGTGGACTCTTTTGCCACCTCTGGCAGGAACCAGTCATTGCAGGTATTTTTTTTTTCCTTTTATAAATAAAATGTCTGAGAATATAACCATTCAGAATTTTAACAGTCTTTTTGAGTGTGCCATGTGGGAGATCCTACAAGAGGTGTCTAGCACCCCACATCTATGGATCCTTCTGGGATTAGTAGTTTTCCTTGGTATTAAGTGGTTTGACAACAAAAGTCTTATAGAGTCTTTAAGAGACGAATCCAGGATTCTTAAGGCAGAGGTTGAACATCTACAAATGATTAAGCATGACAATGATCTTCTCAAGAATCAGTTTGAAGTTCTACAGGAAGAGAACAGAACTTTGTTTAACAAGACAATGGTGACTGAAAAAAATTAGAAAAGGTTCAGGCGTATGTTAAGGAGAAATTCATGACTATGAAAGAGGGAACAGCTGAGTTGGATCGTAAACTCCAATACCTTTCTGTAGGAAGTGAAACATTAGTGGCTGATATTAAGGAGAAATTCATTACTATGGAAGAAGGAACAGCTGATTTAAATCGTAAATTTCATCAGTCACTTTCTGAAGGGACTGAAATATTATCTGAGAGAATCAAAACGGTTGAATGTGACAATCGAATATTGTCTAAAGCTTATGACAGATTGGCGGAAAGAATGTCAATACAAGAAGGCACAGTTTATGCCATGAAAATTATGTCCAAAGATGAGAACTTATCTCTAATGGACAAACTTCATACTTTAGAATCCTCAATGAAGGCTTTGGAACATAATTCTGGACAGGAGATGCAGACATTGCAGAAGGCAATGGTGAATAGAATTGAAAAGATTGAGGAATTTCTAAATTCTGATGAAGATGAACAAACGGTAGAAAGGCAAATTTTAACTACATCTGTGGGTAAATCCCTCCAGGACAATTTCCACAAATCTCTACATACAGCTCTACCTGCCTTTCCAATAATAACAACTGAGAAGGTGATTGGTTCCAGAAACCCTAGGGTCATCAAGGAAGATACATGGGAGCCTGTCCGTATGAATGATCTCAAAGAAATTAAACAGGCTGCAGGCTGTCATGACTTTTGGGATGCACGCCTCTTTTGTTAAATAGATGCTAAAATCTTGTGCATCAAGAAGCAGAGCAACGCCCTTGGACTGGTTTCTACTGACCTCTGCAGTCCTTGAGAGTGGGCCACAATTAAAATGGAAATGCTTATTCAGGCAAGAGGCTAGACTTTTAGAACAGCAAGAAAAGGTGAAGGGAGGGGAGGGTGTTAACTCCTTTGCCCCGATAGCCTGCCTGCAGCAAGCTAGGTAGGTCCTTTGTTTACGAGCCACCCAAGCAGCAAGGAGATCTGGTCCGGGCACCAGGAGGGACATCATTGGTGTTAGTGAGTTTCTGACTGTGGCAGCAGCCCGGGACAGGGAACTCAGACGTTCCTCATCCCTCCTACATTTCCTGGTCATCCTCAGGGGCTATTCTGCCCGATACCTCCTCTCTCTTCCTATCCTACCCAGCTTGCATCCATAACCACCCCCCCTCCGTCTGACTCCCTCCCATCTTTGACCACATAACATCTCCCAGCTCAGCCTGTTTGGGCTCTAGGACCGAATTCGAATAGGGAGGGTGGTAGCTCCTTTGTCCAGATAGCCTGCCTGCAGCAAGCAAGGTAGGCCCTTTGTTTATGAGCCACCCAAGCAGAAAGGAGATCCAGTCCGGGCACCAGGGGAGACATCATTGGGGCCCTTTGTTTACGAGCCACCCAAGCAGCAAGGAGATCCAATCCATGCACCAGGAGAGACATAGGGCGTGCATCGACAACCCACCCAGAGCGGGGCTGAGTAGTTCCATCTGGACGGTAGTCCATGTTTGGGTGCTGAGGACTTCCAGCTCAACGGGACGGTCCCTGCTTCTACACTGAAGATATACACCCAGAGACTCAGTCACAGCAAAGACTGGAACAAGACACCAGGCCTCTCCTGGCTCCATTTGAAGGAGGAGATGGGAAGGCGCCAATGCAAGACTTTCTCCAACAACCTGAAAGGCAACATGACTTCACCAGAATCAAGGGATCCGGAAATAAGAATAATTGTATACCCTACCCCAGAAGAATTAGAAGAAATCAACTCAAAAGTGAATTATATGAAAATAATAGAAGACCTTAAGCAGGAGGTGAAAAACTGCCATAAACAATTAGAGATTACAAACAAAAAGGTAGAGGAAATGAA